CATCTGTTGGAGGAGGGCTTAGCCTTCTCTGTCACGTAGCTGCCCTCCGTCTCATACAATAAATGGTCTACCTAACAGGCATCTTTGGGGGAGGTGGAAGTACACGCTAAGGATCAGTTTTTACATCTGGACAAGAGGTATCATGCCCCCCACCATTCATAGGGCTTACCAAATGTGCCTTGGCACTGTTGGAACCATAGGCATCAATACAAGTCCTTCCTCCAAAATATTATAAAGGGAAGTACTCTAAGTTCTAAAAGCTGCTTTGCGCATACAGGCATGTGTTAACATGTTAATTACTGGCTGCCTGAATCGCTAATGGAGGATTTGCCTTCGTGATGGCAGCTAGCAAAGGCTGAAGGGGTTCATGCCAGAGGCTCGGTCTGTGATGGCTTCAGCCAGGAGAAAGATTGGAGCATCACCAAGACAGGTCACAGTTGGTGTGGAAAGTAGTAATCAAGTTCTAGAGCCAACAAAACTCAAAAATGCAGGGTGAGGTCGCTTCTTGATATTGATGGCTGCAGGAAGGAGATCTGGCAGCAGATGGGAAAGGGGGACCCAACATTTTAAAGAAATGCTTTTATTGAAATATAACTAACACGGGGAAAAGTGCACTTACTGCATGTGCACAATTCAGTACATTTTCACAAATTGAACCACCATGTTACCAGCAAAATACTTCAAACTCTCATGCCTGCTCCCCACCCACCCAAAGGATGCCTACTGTCCTGACTTCCAGTGCCCAGGCCAGCTTCACCTCCGTTTGTATTTTATACAAATAGAATCCTGCAATATGTGCTCTTTTGTGGCTGGCTTCTTTTGTTCACTGTTATGTTTGTGAGATTCATCAATACTGTTGCCTAGAGTGTTATTTTTCCAGCTCTCATTCCTGTACAAATAGACCATATTTATATATCGATTAAATTCATCACTTGAACATTTGGGTGGTTTCCTGTTTGAGGCTATTATGAATGTAGTTGCTACGAAAATTCTTATGTACAACTCTTGGTGAATGTAAGCGCTCATTTCCATTGGGCAAATCCTCAGGGGTGGAATTGTTATTCAGCCAACTTAGATTCAGCTGTAGCGAGGGCGCCAATGCTCCCCACCCACCTGTTGCATGTGGCTCCTCTGTATTGAAGACTTCTTTGAATTTTTTTCAACCCTCACCCGAGGGTATGTTTATTGATTTGAGAGAGAGAGAGTGGGGGGGAGAGAGAGAGAGAGGGAGAGAGAAACATTGATGTGAAAGAGAAACATCAATGGGTTGCCTCCCCTTATGTGCACTGACTGGAATCAAACCTGAAACTTTTTGGTGTATGGGATGAAGGCCCAAACAAATAAGCTACCCAGCCGGGGCAAGACTTCTTTTAATTTTTAAATAAACAATGACAACAGCTCGCTAAATTATAATAAAGTGAAGAATAAATTATAAAGATTAGGGGAGATTAGGCCTAAATTTGTCCCACTAATTGCAAGGATTCTTAACCTGGAAGGGGGCTGTCCATGGATAACAATCAGCCCAGGGGCACAATTCATTCATAGTCTCTAGTAGCAGTTGATAGATTACATCTACTGCCACCATGAACGTACCTGATTTCAAGGGTTGACTGGATCCTTTTGCCCCTTCACTTTAGCTGCCATATGCAAACATTTTGGTTTTTCCAACTGGGCTTGAACCAATGCCCCAGTCCCAGCTTCTCTGATCTCCTGACCCCAAGTGGAAGTGACACATTCGTATGAGATGACACACAGGGAAGGAGGATCAGGTATAAATACTTGAGGGAAAACCAGGTGGAAGGAGAACCAATGGAGGGAAAGCCGAAACATCACATGTGTGATGCAGATGGGGCATCTGGTTCTCAAAGGATCCAGCAAGGCCTCTAAACAGGGAAAGCAGGTCAAGGTGAGTAAGACAGGGATGTAATATGGGTAGTTCGGAGGCTAAGGCTCAAATGAAAGCCTCCATTTTTCAAGGCCTGGTGTTCACACAGCCCAGGCTTGCCAAAGACTTAGCTCATAGCAGGCAAGGGCATGTCCTTACTGCTCTGCCTAACTTTGCTGTGAGGTGGGGAAGGAATAGCTGGGGCTACTCCACTGGACAGGCTGAGAAATTAGGAGAAATGCCTTCTTTGGGGCAAGGGGTAAAGTTTCCACTGGGTGGATGAAAGTTGTTGAAATAGACTGTATGCTGAGTAACTTGTAATCTAGTAGAAAAGGTAATAACAAAGCAATTTCCCAGAACCCCCATCCATCCATCCATCCATCCATCCATCCATCCATCCATCCATCCAAGATCCATAGCTTTTTCTGAGGGACCTTTGGTATTTAAAGCTGAGTAAAGGAGGCTGAATTTCTGCCACATATGGCTAACACGTCTGTTCACCTGGTCACAATTCCATCAGCTCTTGATACCAGCTGATCTTCTAGTATGTCTCAAAACAGGCAAGCAGGTTTTAAACTCAATGAGTCTGTGGCTAAATAGTTTTGCTGTGGTTACCTTTTTAAAGGCCAAGAGTGTCACATTAGTTTTCAGCTTCCATTGATTGTGTTGCGTGGTGAGTCTTTGGGCCAAGTGCTTACAAACATGGTGGACATGAGGCTATTAGTGCTTCTGTACATTTTCCTGGAACACCTGTGAGAAAAACAAGTGGGCAGAAATGTTCTTGTAACAAATTAAATCTCAAACAATGCCTAGACTTCCCCCTACCCTCTCATCTCTTCTATTATTAGGTAGGTAATTCTCTGCTTTAAAAATAAAAGCTTCATTGAGATATAATTCATATACCACGAGATTCACCATTTCAAAGTGTACAGTTCAGGGATATTTAGTATATTCATAAAGTTATTCATTGATTAGAGCATATCTTTACCACACCAGAAAGAAACCCCATACCCATTAGCAGCCACTTCTTATTCCCCCACCTATCTCCAACCCTTGACAACCATGAATCTACTTTCTGTCTGTATGGATTTACCTAACCTGGATATTTCATTTTAAGTGAATCATACAATATTTACCTTTTTGTGTCTGGCTTCTTTCACTTAGCATCATTTTCACAGTTCTACCATATTGTAGCATGGATCAGAACTTCATCCAGCCTCTTTATGGCTGTATAATATTGTATGGTCTACCCTCTACCCTGAAGGACACACATGCTCTCTCATTTGATGTTGTGGTGTTACTTTCACACACTAGGAGATGGCTAATAAAACTGTGTTTCTGCTGTTCAATTACTCTTCAGGTGATGTCAAAAGCAAGATGGTGGTTTTCAGTGGGGATTTTCCATAACTTAGATCAACAGAGCAAAACAGCCTGTCCTGATTTATTTCATGAGTTCATTTCCTATCATGTTCTGGGGAAGGGAGCAGCCAAAGCTGGTGGATATTAGATGTGTAGCAGAGTCATAATGGGCCTCTTCTCTGGGTAGGAGAGAAAAATCTTCCTTCTAAAATTCTCAAAGCTAAAAATGATCTCTGACAGAGTTTATGGGGTTGGGTGGTGGTGGGGAATCTGGGCTTGGCTGAGCATGTAACCATTTATTCATTCTTTTCTTCATTCATCAGAGGGCAGAATAAAAGGAGATTCAGAGATTTGCAGGAGAAAGGAGGAAATGGGCATTGGCTAGAAAAACAAATGTCTCCTTCCTCATTGGGTTCTCTGGTCTGTGAGTCTCAATGATGGGCAAGGCTACCTGGGACACAGCTGGGAGGGCTCTCCCTGTTCATTAGAGTTGGGGACTTGGGAAGGTGAGCCGGGACCATAGAGAAACCTGAGTGGACACATTCCATGTGTGGGCAGCTACTGTGAGCAGGGTAATAGGCATGCCTAGCATTTGGAATTTGGCAGCATGATAGGATAGGATCTTGCCAGTTTTCTATAGCACCCACAGAATTACAGCTAACACTCAGTTTTATGTTAATTAACTCAATCAGTGTAACTCAAAGCCAGGTGAGTTTGCAGTGTATTTGTGTGTAGGAGGTACATTATCTGGCTTAGGGTTTTAGATCCTCCTAAGTAGAAGCCAAACTAAACAAATTTGATCATGAAACTACTTTGTGCCAGCCATGGGGGTGTGGTGGCCAGATTTCAGGTGCTGGACCCAGAATGGAAGCATTTCTCTTTGCTCTACAATGGACACTGAGGTAGGCACCCTTGCCAATCCTAAAGGGCAGTGGTATAGTCTGTTGAGGACACAGAATAATCCAGATGGCATTTTTATTAGGAGAATTCTGACAGTTTGTGAATGTGGGGTCCCCACAAGGCACAGTCCTGGGAATGCCTTTGAACTCTGCTGAGAGTGACACTGCCACACTGCCACACCATTCCTAGAAAGATGGTATTACGGGCTGAGTTGTGTTCCCACAAAATTCTTATGTTGTAGTCCCAGTCCCCAATACCTCAAAATAACTCTATTTGGAGATAGTACCTTTAATGAGTTAAAGTTAAAATGAGGCTGTTAGGTTGGGCCTTAATCCAGTATGATGAGTGGTGTTCTTATAAAAAGATTAGGACACAGACATAGAGGGAAGATTATGTGTAGACACAGGGGAGAAGACGGCCATTTATAAGCCCAGGAGAGAGGCTTCAGAAGAAACCAACCCTGCCAACACCTTGATCTCTTACTTCCAGCCTCCAGAACTGTGAGAAAATAAATTTCTGTTCTTTAAGCCACACATCCTGTGGAACTTTGTTATCGCAGCCCTAACAAACTAACAGAGATGGTATGATCAACAAGGAAGGAATGAAAATGAGGTCCTATAAGTTTTTCTGAAGTCATTGCGTCAAGTAAGGGTGCTAAGGGTTGGAGTTACTGAAAATTGATCTCTGCCCAATACAAAATTTAAGATAATGACTGTGTGTGTTTATTGCTAGTTTTTAGAGAGGGAGGGAGGAAAGGGGCAGATCTGCCAGGACAGTTAGGGAGAAAGGGCCCCAGCCCCAAGCACCCTGGTGGCCCCAAGCACCCTGGTGGCCTTCAGCAAACTCCACAGAAGAGGCTCATCTCAGCTCCTGTTTAATTGTAGTCAGATATTAAACATTTATAAATTTTTATACAATAAAACAAGTACATGCAAAGTTACAAATATAGAAAATATAAAGTACATGCATATTTCAAAGACCACTTTGGATCCTTATACAAAACTATTCAGTGCACACTGTAAGCCTAAGGACCACGCAAAAGGGGTTCCCACATATTTAGTACCTTATAAAACCAGGCAGCGCATTAGATACTTCAGCTGTTAACTGCTCTAACCAAAATTTCTAAGTTTGTCATATGCAATATATATATATATTACATAGAAAACCCACAGAATGCAAGCCAATAACATTGCAGGATAGTAATATATCTGCTAGGTGACAATATTGAATGATCCAGGGAATAATTTTACCTTACTTAAATAACAGGAACAGAATTTCTTCTCTCACTCCCAACAGGTCATATTTCTGTCATCTGCAGTCTAAGATTTCTTTTTCTGGATTGATTCCTTATTCAATTCAAAAGCCAACTACTGAGATGAAGGACTCAACCCGATTCTGGCTTTTGACAATTATGAGGCAGCAGTGAACAAACGCAAACATTTGTACACTAATCACTTTCTTCATTACGTAACCTTCTACGATAATGGTGTTTTTACAGCTGCAGCTCCCTCTATATTAAAATCTCCTGGCTTTACCCAATGTCAAAATTATTCATTTCCAGGTAAATGAACAAAGGAGAATTTTGTTCTTAGTGTCCAAAAGGTAATATATTTTTTAACTGCCTTAATTATCTACGGTTTATGTTACTAAAGAAAGGAATGCAACATGTAGGTACCCTCCAAAGGCACCACTCCCAAATGTTGGATAGTTTTAGTCCCAGAAGACTTTCCTATTGTTACGTTCATTTCCTATGAAAATATCCTCTGCCCAGAGGCGTAATGTTGCATGAATATTTTCTCTTGATGCAATAGCTGCTGTGTAGCCTGTACTGCAAAATGTAAAACATTGTCACAGTTCTCTGCAGACATAGGGCACACACTTTCCAGCAGGCTGAGCCTGGGCTCAAAAACTAAGGATTTCTAGTTCTGTTTTCTGAATGAGTATCCTTCTGAATTTGGCAGAAATACTATTTAAACAGGAAAATGTAATCAGCTTTTCTTAAAATGAATGAGAAAATGTGTCCAAATTGCTACAAAGTCACTGCTAACTAAGATGGGGAATTAGTGTACTGAGCTCTAGCTGGGCAAGGAGCTGGAGGTATGTAGGCAAAGGTATTTGAAGACTGTAGAATATTTTAGCCTCAATCTTTTGCACTAGACAAAAAATAAGCCTAGATCATGGAATGATTATTTGCTGTTACACTCTTACCAGCCTGGCACTTACACTGGCCCATGAAGGACTCAATCAAACAGGGCTGAATATACAGTGTGCCAGGCCTGCTCTACATTTCCCTGTGCCATCAGTGCCAAGGGTACTAGCCTATGGGTGACAAAGGGAGAAGCAAGAACGAGACACCACCACTAAAGGGTTGCAGGTGGATACCCCCTTCCCCAACCTGGTGAAAACAAAGCTGCCCTCATCCCACTATTAGGAAAATAAGGAAAGAGAGGAGGAGGATCAGAGGAGGGGAGGAGAAGAGGGTCATGCTCATTCCATTGTAAGACTGGTAAGCCTGGTACTCCTTCTGGTACTGGGTGGTGCACATCTCCTCTACCACGCGCTCCATTATCTTGACATCAGTCTCGGTGAAGTTCTCCCCCTTGGTCGTGGTGGTGACCGTGTGTTGTTTGACCGTGATGTTGACACAGTCACGCACAAAGTTATCCTGGTTGTTGTACTGATTCACAGGCTTGTAGTACACTTGGTTGGGGAAACGGTTCATGTTTTCACGATAGTAACGGTCCTCATAATCATTGCCAAAATGCATGAGGGGCCTGCTCATGGCACTCCCCACCATGTAGCCTCCCAGGCCCCCCACCACTGCCCCGGCCGCAGCAGCTCCTGCCATGTGCTTCAGGTTGGTTTTCGGCTTACTGGGCTTATTCCACTGGTTGTGGGAGCCACCACCTTGACCCCAGCCTCCACCACCATGGGGCTGTCCCCACCCACCTCCATGGGGCTGACCCCACCCACCACCTCCCTGGGGCTGACCCCAGCCACCACCGCCCTGGGGTGGGTAACGGTTGCCTCCAGGATATCCCTGCCCTGGGTATCGGCTCCCTCCACTGTTGCTTCCTCCTCCAGGCTTCGGTCGCTTCTTGCAGAGGCCGACGTCACTCCATGTGGCCACAAAGAGAACCAGGATCCAGCCGCCTACTTGGCTTTTCACCATGATGACTTATCTGCAAAATGAAGAGTGTGTCAGAGTACTGTGTCTATGTTGAAACCACTTAACATCTGCAGAACAAATGACTGCACAGCAGTGGCATCAGCACCTCAGGCATAAATGCTCTTCACTCTGTACTTCTTTGAAGCCCCGATGACAGAGTGACTGTTAAGTAAAGGGTTAACACACCACTTTCTCCTTCTCTAAGGACAAATTTGACTAAGATAATTTCTGGCTCCGTTTCCTGGAAACTTGATAAAGGTGGAATGTCAGCAACACTGCTTATGGTAAAAATAACCTCTGCTTTATAAACTGCAACCAGACTGGGAAAACCTATAAATACCTGATGGGTTTGCCATCAGTTTGGGCTTTAGAGCAGTGATCCCTGCACCTGGCACATCCTTTTGGGGAACCTTGGAAGCTGTGCCCACTGTACTATTATAAGGAACATTGGCTCTTGTGGGGCCTGGGGCTTCCATGCCAAGGGGAACCTGTTATCCACCAATATGGATCTCATGCCCATAAACCTGGGGGTGGAGACAAGCCCACGGCTCCTGGGTGGACCCCTCAATGACGCTGGTGTGGCCTCTATGAAGTCTTGTGAGTCTAATGTCTAGTTTGGAAGACCCCCATGGGTGCTGCTGTAATGAAATAACTTTGTAAATAGCTGGTTTCTGTCTTCTCTGTGAGACTGTAAGCAGGAAAGAAGTCTTGTTTGCTGCTATTTCCTTCGGGGCTAGGGCAGTGCCTGGCACAGAGCAGGCACACAATAGATATTTGTTAGGGGCAGGAATTAATATCCCCTAAACATATAAAATGCCAATAAGAATTTCCTCAAAGGAATACAATTTTTTTGGAAACAGGAAACATGCTGGATTTTGCAAGCCCACTTATAAATTCATCTTTCTCTTTATAGATGGACAGATGGAGCTGTCAAAGGGGGGTAAGAATGGCTATGTTCACAAGATCTGTAGTCACTCACTGGCTGAATGAGCTTAGTTCAGCAGGTAATGGTTTGAGTGACGTATTTTCTTCTAATTTTTGGTACAAAAAGACATGTCCTATATAAAAGGGCTTAAGAAAAAACACACCACCCAAATATCCTGAATAATTTATGCCCCTTTGCAGAATGTATAGTAAATCTCCTTTCAGACTAAAGATCTCATTTATCCTGGGTGCTTGGGTCCAAGGGCAGAGCTCACAAGCACATAGTAGAATGATTATTAAGCAGTTTCTACTGTACCCCACATCAAACCATATGCTCTAAAGTAGCATTATGTGCCATAAAACCCAAAGGCATACACTGTAATGCTGATGTTAACCTTATCTCCAGCACTGTTTATCTTCAAACAAAAGTGGCACCAAGTACTAGAAAATTATTTTTCATAACCGGCAGAGCTAAAGAATAAATTGGATAATATTCTGAAAGAAGAATGAAATAAATTAACATCCTGTTTATGTTTTTACTATCATTGAACTGTCTTGGAGGTCGGAAGCAAATAAAAGTATATTTGAGAGTCATGAAAATTGAGGTTTCTGGACTGGGCCACTGTGGGGACAGAATGCAGAAGGTAGAGCAGGTCTGGAGGGAGATTAATGAGGGATGTGGCTTTCACAGTGCTGTTATCAAGCTACATGTGAGACAAAGATACCAGTAGGCAGCTTGGTGAGTCTAGAGTTGAAGCAGGACCATGGACTGGAGAAAAAGGCAATAGGGAGCCAGAGCCATGGCTTGTGTTGCTGATTAGTACTTTAAAATTGAATACTGAATAAAGTTGGATAGAACAGAGAATATTCTATATATTATTAATATGGTCACATTATTGATACATTCATAGAATATATTAAGACTAGGTCATTTTAAAATTAGTTGAGAACAAAAGCAACATTTAATTATGAAAAGCATTAAAAATAGCAACTACATTTTGAAGTAGAGAATCAATGCTAAGGTTAAATAAAAGGGACTCAAATCTTACATGAGGGACTCAAAACTTACATGAGACCTTGGGGAATCTCTTTCTATTTGTGATAAAATAAGGAAGATCTTATAGTATTTACCTAAACCTCTTACTCTACAAATTAGACCACCAAGATTCAGAAAGGTCAAGTGTTGGCTAGTAAAATTGCTGGGAATGGAGACTGGGTTTCTGAATCCCTGGCTATGCTATGACACTAATCATCTAAGATACTCTATGTGAAGGGTCAGGTTGTGGCCCAATCCTCTGGTACATTTAAGGCATTAAGTATTTGACAAAAGTCAATACCTATTTGTCACTAAGAAAATTACTCTCAGCATAGTAAGGATAGGAGGGAACTCCCCTAATTTGATAAAGATTATATAACAAAAGCAGCAAACATAATGGATAACCTCTGAGTATATTCCCTTTAAATCAGAAACAAGACAATGAGTCCATTGTCTCAGGACACATACAAAGACAAAGAAGTAACCAGTGTAAGAACTGCAAAGAAAGAGCTCCAGCTGTCATTATTTGCAATTAATTTAATCATATGCATAGAAAATCTACCAGACTCAACAGAGGTAACGAGACCAAGTACTAGAGCTCAGAAAGGTTATGGGATACAAGAATGGCCTACAAAAATCAACAGTATTTCTCTACACCACCAATAATTGACTAGAAAGTTTTGTTTTTAGGAAATAAGACATTCATAATAGCAACCCAAACTGTAAAGTATCTAGATATTGACTTTACTAAGAGAAAAAAAGACGGGAAATGTTTTAAAACCTCTAATAAAGAACATAGATGATCTATAAGAATGGAAGGGTTTTCCATGGTCTTGATCAAGATAACTTAGTATTATAAAGATGAACCTATAATTTCAATAAAATGCCAATAAAAATTCCAATTGGATTTTTTTTTGAGTTCTATAAATTCACAAGTGGAAAGAAATGTCCATGAATAGCAAACTCAACCTTAAAGAAAAAAGAGGAAGGAATGTGCCATGTCAGACGTTAAATTCTTCTACAAGGCATAGAATAAAGACCATATGGTCAAAGTCTAAGAACAGACCAACTGTGGAAAGCAAACCCTCGGATAAGAGGGGACCACTATATTTTAATTTTATTGAGGTCACTGCCCTTTACAGAATCTGATGCACACTATACAGATTTTTGCAAAACATTTTGGGGTGATGGGTTTTCACTGCTACTCTGAGGCCCAGTCTGGACTGAATAGGGCAAAGAGCCCCCAACCTGATTCATCTCAGTATTACTTGAACTTTTAAAAAGCAACAGGGCAGGAGCCTATCCCAGGCCAGCAGCCTGGCAGTGTCTCTAGATGGGATTTGAGAATCTATAATAAAACTTCCCAGGGAATTGCACTCCTAGCCAGGCTTCAGAGCTAGGTCCTCAGAAGACCAACACTTAACATTATAATGCTTTTCATAAAAGGGCACACCTTCCTTGATGTGATCACAGAATACTATGATAGTAATAAGCAGACTACCAGGGGAAAAAAGACAAACACACTGAGAAAAAAAATTCTCCCATTGTAAGAACTGCTACACATACTATTTACTCAAGGACGACTTTATAATGCTGTAGCCATCATCTCATTAGACACAGGCGCGTTCTGAATGTTTAATATGCAGTAGTTCACAGCTGATATAGTTGCCTTGGAAAAGGAAATAAGATCCGAAAATGGAGAATGGAATAGGTAAGTTAAAACTACAGCTTAGAAAAACTTTCCCCTCATAAAACTGTTTGTCAGTTGGTTGATAGTCACTTTCAGTGTTAATTTGGTGCAGAAATGTTTACGTTATTGTTTTACTGTATTTTTTAAATGGTTGCTGCCTTATATAAGTCAGCATGATTCTAGAGAAAACTGTGGCCCTTTCTCTGCAAAATCAAGCTGATTTTCCAAGAAAGGATGATGCAATTGGTGTGAGTTACACATCTAGGCCTCCAGAGCAGGAGCTTGTGATCATAGCCTTTCCAGACCCTTATTTTCTGAGACAACTGGTGACTATCAACCATCACAAGACCAAAGAGATTCCACAGGGTACGTACATCTGTCGTGGCTCAGCTAAGCTGGATTTTTGCCTCCAGGAAGACAATGCTTCGGCTTGGCTGAAATTGTTGTCTTTAAATATATTCAGGAGACCTTAAAAACAAAAAGAAAAAACAACAACTAGAATTGATAAGTAAATCTAAGATATGATTCATTAAAAGAAAAGCTTACTATATAAGTTTCTAAGCCACTAATAAACCTATTTCAGAAAACAATGAAAAATATTTGAAAAAAGAAATGAGGTCAGCTAAAAAAGCAAACAACTCTGAGCTCCCTCTCTTTCACACACAGAAAACTGAACTCACTTCATTTTAATAATTACTTATTTAGAAAGGCAATACATCATCAAAATTAAAACCACCTATGATTTCTATTAACTTTGTTTTTGCTTTTCCTTTCAGATTTTTCACATATGCATTCATTATGAATAAGTAGATAGTTTAGTAACCTGCACTTGGACCAGTCAGCTTCTTCCCATGTACCACAACAGGCTCTAAATCATGACTTCTGATGATTACATAAGTTCCTTTCAGTCATGATTTCTTAGCTACTGCTCTGCTGTTACACATTCAGGTTGTTTCCTAGTTGGTTCTAACTTTAGGTAATTCTTCCCCAAATATGTGCCTGCATAGAGCTTTTCATTTTATTTTTCTCATTTGGTTCTTCCATTGCAAGTAAATTCCCAGGAATGGGATTTCTGGGTCACGGCTTTTAACTTCTTAATGCATGGCCTGATTGCTTTACAAAAAGTTTGTACCGATTCACAACGTCCCCAGTGGGATGTCACCAGGAAAAGAATAAAGGTATATATAACAATGGTCCATTTTGCATAGATGGTTAATCTTTAACAAACTCTGGAAGTAGGTATCATTTCCTCTATTTTATGAATGGATAAAAGAAGGAGTAGGAAATTAGGTAACCAAAGTCACGAAGCTAGTTGCAGAGCTTTGTCACCTCAAAGCCCTGCCACCTCCCCTGATAACTGGAATATGCAAATTTCAGGGGTTGCAGTTATTGTGGTTGACATATGTAAAATGATAGTCCAGACTTGCTTTAATTTGTATTTTATTCTGTAAATGACTCATCATTTCACCATTTATCTATTATAATCTTGGCACTTTCCTTTCACAAGCATGAAAAACTTGTGTCAGGTACAAATAATACACAAATCACATCCTAGCTCTGCTTTCTTTCCCTTTCCAGTTAGTACTTTTTCATTATAAGAGCTCCTCAGTGTTTGTGTAGGTAAAAACGTTCCTTTTCACTGACTTTCTTCTTTACATCTGAGCAAGTGGTTAATTTTTCCAGAATTCCGACATTTTTATTCAATTTTCTGTTCCTACTTGGATAATTTGATTTGTGAAAATCGTTAATCCTATGCTATGTGGAGTTTTTCGCAAGGAAAGGGAAACGTCTCAAATGTTCAGCATGCAGAGAACTGCGTATTAAACCGTGATGCTCTGAGTACATCAGATGATCCTGGATGACCAGGAGCAGGGCGGGGCAATTGCATTCTGTTGTGTATGAATCTAAAGATAAGGAAATGAAATGAAAACCAGAAAGCAGATGCTTTGAGATGGTTAGGGTGGACGTGATGGCGGTAGGTTTACAATGAAAAAAATCTGCTTGCTATTGCTATGGCAAAGAGTCAATGGAAAACAACAAAAAAGGGGCAGTAATGACAGATTTCTCCCCACTGTTTAATAAGCAAATGTGAAGGCACCTCCCGCACAGGTGGCGGAAGATGGTTCTTCCAGGGCCGCCGCCAGGCTCGGATCCCCCCCCCCACCTCAGGTCGACTTCTCCCCTTCCAGATAAGCAGGAAAGAATGAAAAGCGAAGGCTGCGGGTCAGCCACGCCTGGGGCGCGTAGGAGGCCCTTGGTCCCCGGGGGCCTGACGTCCTCCGCCAGCAAACGTAGGGCAGGGCCGCCCCGCCACCCCTCCCCGCCGA